ATTAACTGCAGTAGATGGCGGTCAGCTCATCCGAAGTTTGGAGAAACAAGAGCCGAAGCCAAGTAACGTACTGCTGTGGACAGGGATCTCATTCCTCGAGAGCGTTTTCTCATAAACAAAACCCACTGCACTCACAAATACAGATAAATAAGGTTTAACATCCCCTATTGTTAAAAAATAAACACAGTAGGAGCTCGCTGAGTACTTTCTAGCTTCATAACCTTTTGTTCTGTTCTATTATTACGGGTAAAAATAAAACAGCACCTATAGTTAGGCGAGGCGCTGGATGGTCTCTCCTGGCCGACATTTGTACCTTAGTTGTAAAGATCCAAACTACTAACTTGCAGGATTTAAAAACCTCATGAGCCCCGCTGTTCCTTGCACCATGGGAGTCACTCTGTGTTATCTGCACCGACAAAACCGAGAGACAACTTCCTTCACATTCAGAGGACGTAGTGAAGATGAAGAACAAATCCTTTTCGTGACCTTGGGTGAGGAGGATCAGAAAGCCGTTCGATTCCTCCTGAGATCGTGTTGAAAAGATTTTATATATATAAGTCAGAACCATGTTTGCACAGCCCGCAGCGCCGACGCCTCGGGGTCTGTACAGAAACAACGACTTCAATGGGCTGAGCTGTTACAGGAGACGCGTACGTTTCCCATGATGCACTCCTGCGTCTCAGCTGCCAAAGCAGTTGACTGACACATTGATCTGCAGGGACTTTAGAAAACTGCAGGTAAAAAAATAAATAAAAGACGTGTGGAAAGATTAGAGCTTCAACAATTAATTTATTAATCAGTTGATGGACAAATATTTTATCTACAACTATTTCCATGGTCAAAAAAAAAAAATTTAGTTTACATTATTTTTTAAGCAAAATGCCAAAATGAATGCTTTTATTTAAGCCTTTGGGCTTTAAACTGTCAAATAAAACAAGTAATTTAATACTTCATCTTTGGGGTTTATTGATTTAATAATTAGCCTATTGTACCTGCAATTTACATATTTATCGTAAGTTTGAATTAAGACAGCGTGTGTTCTGAAACACTGTTAGAGATATTTTTTATTGCACATGTGCCGGGAGAAATTATAAACAGATATAAAAGAGATATGGTGAATATTCTTGTTTTTAAATTCGGTGATACGAGTTGTTTTTTAGTTTGTTTTCAAATTGAACACAATAAAAATCAAAATTACCGTAAAACTTCAATTAGAGTCCCAAATAGCTGCCTACCCTGTTTACTGCTGTGGGAACACATTCTGACAAATAAACGCTGGTCTCCATTAAACGCCTGGTCTGGTTTTTATAGAAGTTCTTTGTATGTATAAAACCTCTTAAACCCCGCGGGGTCGTCGGCTTTAGCTGATTCTAAGCTGCTTAGCTCGTGCATACAAATCTAAAAGTTTAAACGTATGATCGATATGTCTGTATGGACATGCTGCACGTCGTTAGATCGGTTAGATTCTCCACAAATCAGGCGTTAAGGTCATTTAACAGAAACAACTAGGAATTAAAGGGCTGTCCGATATGGACGCCTGTCCCAAATATAGGCAGCGTCAATTCAGTGATTTTAGCAAATAAAAGCCCGAGCTATTAATATTAAAAGAAAGTTTTACGGTAAATAAAAGCAAACATCTGGAAAATGTTTTAGGGCTGCTTCTATCTGATTTGATTATCGAAAATCCTTTACAATGTGGTTTCACGTTACTTCTTTTGTCCAACCAGCAGCCTAAAATCCCCAAAAACACGAACTTGTTATCACATTAGAAAAAGAAAAAACATTTTAATATTTGAAGTCTTCAAATTGTTATATGTGTTTTCAAAAAATGTCATTGCCATTGTTTATATTGTCTCAAATATTGTTTTGTTTTGCCAATTATATGAAAAAACGTAAACCCATTTAAAAAGATTGCCGATCAAAATTGTTTCTGATTAATTATTTGTGTTTTAATTGATTTATTATTTAATCACCCAATCTTTTGAGCTCTGTGCCACTTCAGGACATACAATAAAGACTAAATGAGTCTGCGTTTTGATCCATTTCACATGTTTTAATCCACTGTCACTCAATTATAGGGAACGACCGATATGTTTTTTTCCGATTATTAGTAATGATATTACTACAGATTATTAAATGAATTAGAGATCCATCCCAGAGATGGACTTGTTAACTGTGAGTGATAAATTATCATAAACTCTAAATTTTATATTGTTAGGATTTTATTGATACTATTTATTGGTTCTGTTCTTTATCTGTCCTCTTATTGGTTTTTCATTACTAAATAATTGCCTTTTAAAAAATGTGTTATTTAAAAAAGAATAAAATCAGAATAATAATCAAATTTAATATTTTATTATAACTAACTGTTTTCAGAGCAGCAACAAAAGTAAAGTTTACTGCAGCAAAGTAACAACATGAAATCAGTATCCCACTGGAAACAAATGGAACATGTTGAATAAACTATATTCCTGACATCAAAATACTGAGTAAAGGCCTGCGTCCGCCAAAGCGTTTTTTACCAGCTGAAAACGCCAAGCTGGGAGCGCTAGGGTCCGTTTTTTCGGCTGAGACGCTGTGGTTGCTATGATGCATAATATCCGTGGAGGTCATGTGCTGCAAGTAGGCTACTTAATTTTACTAAATTTGAAAATGGGTTCATGAGATTTTGCAGTTCAAGAGCTGCGATGGCTCGGCGTGGCGTTTGTCCCGCCACCCCCTGCACTGTGATTGGACGGCTGGGTAAGAAGTGACATTGCATGGCATGCGCGTGTATTTGCACGGCTCTGCTGAGACGGGAGGGGAGGGGCCGCAGCGTGGTGGCTCGCTCGTTCTATTGGCTACTTTTGCACAATAGTCAGTGTTGATAGGCTATTACTCGTGAGTTGTAACCAATCAGCTAGTTCGGTGGGCGGGACATTGCTCCAGCACACAGAGTGGCGAGTACAGACTGAGAGAAGCGGCTGCATCGGAGCCAAAGGAGCGCATTGTCTAACTAATTTCTTATCTCGGCTATCCGTTTTTTAAATGACCGATGCAGATTATTGGAAAAATGCTGAAAAACTCAATAAAGTATTAAACCTGTCCAAGTAATGGCTGAAACAATTAATCTGCCAGCTGATTAATGGAAATCTAATAGCTGTGGTTACACAAAAGAACATCTGAAGACGAAGCCTTGGATTCTGGGAAAGTGCAACAGGCATTTTTACAGTTTTCCACATTTAAAGAACGTGATCCTGATGAGTCTGTTCCAGCCCTGGTCTGAGTTAAGTAAAATTTAATGAATAATCTGCACCACATGAAAGACACACAGCGTACGTTACTGGGTGGGTGCACCAAGTTGATAATGAATATTGGAAAACTGTAGGGGGTTATGTCACATCAACTCAATTAAGATGTGATTGAGACTGAGCGCTCCATCATTAGCACATCATTTCCAATTTACACACTCCACATTTACAGTTTAAAGTGATTATCTTGGCGAATAATTGCCCTCAGGTCTTATCTGCAGACTTGGAGCGAGCCAGACACACAGGCTGCATTAACCCGGCATATCACCAGATGAAAATGAATTCTGCAGAGAGCGTAAACACAGAGCCAGAGGCCTGTTTCCACAGCAGCAGAACCACTTTAAGGAACAAAACATTTATGTTCAGGGAAAACTAACAGACCAGAACACATTTAAAAGGTGGGGTCAGCAGTTCTAATCCACGCCTACAATACTGTCCGCTCATTAAGGCAACTCAGGTGATGTTTGCGTCTTTCTCGAACACTTCAAAATGCTTCCACACTGCCGACATGTCAACGTAACTGTTCAGTAAAAATTTTATCTGCCTTTTGACTTATTAGGGAAAACACAGAAAGTGCTTTTTTCATCCGAAATTAACTTCAGTGGCCGAACATTCTGTGCTTCTCTACAGTAAACTGTAGGCTACAACAAACAAACAAACAAACAACTTAATAAACACATTTAAATAATTATATTGGGCCGATTGTAGAAGAAGAGAATTTAGTCGCTATAATAAAAGTTGAAAGTGAGTTGTGCATAATAACGTGTCGTTTAGATCCCGTCTGCTCTCCTTTGACCCCTGACCGGCTAAATTATTCCCAGATTCTGCTCTGGACCTGCTGGGATCAGGCTCTCTCATTCTGGACTCTCAGCTAACGGTTCCCCCTGCACACAAATTTCCCTGCTGTACCAAAATCCTGCAATCCGCAGATTAGGGAGGTTCATTGGTTGTTGTTTATGTTCATTTCATGTCCCTTGTGTTTGATTGGCGTAGATTTGTGGGCATTAGGGGATAAAGAGTCGGGAGGGAAAGAGGGTATTTATCTAGCTGGCTACCACCGTAATGTGGCGACATCCACCAGGTGTAGTAGCCAAACCAACAAAACAGTTATTATCTCAATTAAAATTACTGAAACAAATGTATACGTGACGCAAAAAGGCAATGTGTCATTTTTGGCCAGTAAAAAACAATAAGCTCGTTCCGTGGATTATATCTATCTTTATCTACTAGGCAGCTGAGCCGGAGAGTTTATTTAGACCCCTGCAGTCACGTGATTTCAAAGACGCTGGAAATTCAGAACGAGGCAGGAAGTAAAAGGCAAGAAAAGATGGAGGACAGCCCGTACGGTGCTAGTTACTATTTATAACTGTAAAATATGGTCACAGTCTTGCGTTCTGTTCCTGAGTTATAGTGTATATTACTTGTATATCCTCACATGACTTTACTGGCACATCTTCTATTGGGATAACACCATTTGAGGGCAAATTCTTGGCTTGTAATGTGCAAACTTTGTCAGTTTAAGAGGGAAATCTCTGTCTCAGCCACTTTATCAATGAGCACGATTAAGGCGACAAATGACCCGACAGACCCGCTAATGAGTCGGGTTTTCATTACAACCACATTAGGGGCCGTTTTAGTAGTTTAAGTATGATAAATGGAGGCAGAGCATTAGTGATTACTTGTGTAATGAGGTTATAGATGTGCTCTTACTGACTTCCTGCCTTCTGCGAGACGATATTCAAACCAACGAGAGGATGGCGAGCAGGCGGGAGGATTTTTCCTCCTTCCGTCCTGAAAGTCTTTGGATTTGTGTAGAGATGGTTCCCTCAGCGCTTGAAAAGTCGTCTGACAGCCCCTGTGCAGGAAAAGCTCTGCAATGTACAGTGGCCAACACAAAGCGTTTTACAATTATGTACAATTATATGATGTTTTGTTCCTAAATTAAACAGTTTATACAAGTACAGCTGAAACGATTAGTCAGTTGACAGAAACTGAATAACTATTTTGATATTTGTTGAAGTAATTTTTCACCTAAAAACATTTCATGGTTCACAAACCATCTGCTGCTTTTCCTTTTGATTAATATAATGTATGTTTAATCATTTCGAGGTTTGGACTGGGGAGGTGATGGCGCAATGGATAAGATGCTTGCCTTTGGGAGACCTGGGTTTGATTCCCACTGTGAGACATCCACCATTGTGTCCCTGAGCAAGACACTTAACCCGTAGTTGCTCCAGAGGCGTGCGACCTCTGACATATATAGCAATTGTAAGTCGCTTTGGATAAAAGCGTCAGATAAATGTAGAAAGGACCGACAAAACAAGCATTGTGAAGGTGTCACTTTGAGCTCGACATTTCTCACTATTTTCATTCATTTTTACAATAGATTATTGGAGAAAATGATCAGCATATGAATCCATAATGAAAATAATCATTAATTGCAGTCTGAAACAAAACCTCAACCAACTACAACACTGCCACAACTGCTTTTACATTAATGTGATGATAATAATCTAATGTATAAATTGTTTAACAGTCACAGGGAGCATTTTTATTTTCTGATTTGATTACTTTTAATACTTTAAGTACATTTTCCTTATTATTATTCTACTTACAGTACTTTTGCATTGTAACAGAGTGTTTTTACACTGAGGTATTAGTACTTTTACTTAAGTAAAGGATATGAATACTTCAATTTCAAAATTTCAGCCCGAACACTTCCGATTGAGCCCGATTAAACCCGAGTAGCTAGCTAACGCATACGAACACTCAATCCTGCAGTTCCCCGTCCAAACTTTCTCCGTCTCTCTTCTACTCTTTATTGCGCAAATACTGAGGGTACAATGGTCACAATGTGGATGTAAAAGTCTACATCTACAATTGCAATAAAGCCGTGTTAGTCAGATCACGTTAGCTTGTAATTTAACTAACGGCTACAAGTTAGCATTAGCATTAGCATTAGCGTTGTTAATTAACCAGCATTCGCCACATTTTAAGACTTCTCCGCATTCATAAAGCACAAAAACATCACAAACAGTGAACCAGCAAAGCTACTTAAAATGAAACAGACTCACCACTGCTTTCTGAAAAGATCCTGACGGTTCATAAATAATCAAGTCTTCGCTAAACGGCTAACTTAAGTCCACAAAGGGGAGAAACCTGCAGAATGTGAGGACTATTAAATGTGCACCCTTATTTATTTTAGTCAACATAACCAGGACAGAATGCACAGCCAGAGCAGGTGAACAGGTAAAGGTAATTAACACGTCTCCGCCTGTTGGTCTGCAGGTGCATGTTTAATGCAGGCTGGTGCAGACCCCCCTGCCCTCCATTCAGGACACACTTGCAGGCTTAAATACATTTTTTGTTTATTATCTATCAATTTTTATTCTAGTTTGCAACAAACACAAATATACTTAGTACTATAGTTTAGCGCTGCGGGGGATAAGGGTTTATATAAACATTTAAAATACAATACAAGCTGTTAAACTGTAATTGCTGTTTGCTTTGGAGACTGATGAATTGATAAAAAGTTTGAACTCTTTCCTAAATACAAAAAAAATAACAGCTTCTCATCTGAAAATGTACATTTATGGATAATGAAAAATTGGCCATTAAAATAAGAAGATTGGTCAAGTAGCTACAGGTACAGTATTTATCTGTGTGGGTTTTTTTTCTGGGAGACCAAACAATACATTCATCCAAAGAAAAACAAAACTTTCATCACTATTTTCTGAAATATAAGGCACATAAGTTTTGCCGGAAATTCTTCTCAATAGGGCAGTTTCTGGACATTCGCCAGAGAAACTACAGTTCACATCAGTGTCTCTCTTAAATCTGGTCTGTTAGCTGGAGAGAATTTATGAATGAGTTTAAAAGAAACTCTGTTTAACTTTATTGGTGATTAAGCGTCGATTAGGTAGAAGCCGTGCCTTCTCCCTTACTACTTCATCCATACATTGATACCAGTATGAAATCACACGAAACAACCACACACAGGACGCACAGTGTCAGGAACAATCCCTAACACTTACTTCACCTGTAAACTCTCTACAACTTATTTTTCATTGTTGAAATTAAGTTTATTTTTTAAACAAGTCATATTATCACTAAAAAAACATCTATGCATGCTGCTCATATTGTATATACTGTATATCCACCTACCTCATGTACATAAAAATACCTTCACAAAAATATTAAATGCAGCATCCTTTGCACATTGCTCATTTACACTATTGTCTTGCTAGAATTGTTTTCGCTGTTGTTGTGTGTTCCTATACACAGTAGCTTGTGTCTGTTTGCGTCGTCCTGTTCATTTATGCTTGTTCTGTGTAATAGCGATTCCTCATGTGTACACATATCTGGCCAAATTAAAAGAGATTCTGATAAAATTTTATTTCTTGAGTTTACAAGCCACATTATCACCACTCATGTCCCCCAAAGGAAATGTTTACCGTTGTAAAGTTTGCTATGGGTCTTTGTGGCAAGATGTAAAAAAATAATAATAATAAAAAAAAGATAATACACACGAGAAGAATACAAATATGCTTGCAGAGTGAGAACAACAGGGAAATAAATTTCAGTTCAGGGTCAAGGCTGCTTTTATTGTTTACTTTAAAAGAGACAGCAAGTAAGGAGGATTTATTTGTGCAGCACTTTTGCGAAATAAAAATAATAATCTTGAATAAAAGGAATTACTGTACAAAAGACAGACATGTGACAATAAATGGAAGCACGCCTACAAAACACACTGTTTAATACTCTGCCGTGAGTAAGATGGCTCTAATATAATATACTGTATATATCACTTTTATTATTGATTTTATTGTAAAGCACTTTCTAACGTTATTATTGGAAGGTGCTATATAAATAATAATTATTATAAAATCTGTGTCAGACTGTATTGACCATATCATACCACCTTATTATCGACATTCAGGACAGGGACATGTGGTATCTATGTGTCTTACAATGCTGTTATTCTGAATCTGTTCATGCTGTATTCTGATTAGTTGGTTTGTAGAGGTGGGTCAGAGCAGGAATCACATTTCGGTCCTAAATTTGGTCCTTTTCTTGATTGCTATTTATCCTGGGGTTGTTCACATACTGTGTTAGAGTCTTTGTGTTATTTGTTACTGTAGCCTGGATAAAGCTATGTCTGTTGAGTCAAGGCAGGCAGTAAGATTCGGCTGCTGTCCGTGGTGCTGATCAAAGGATAAGCCATGCTAAGCCACGCCCCTAACCTCGCGGCTGGCCACAGCGCAGTATAGGTCAGACGCTTTCCTGGCTGCGCTTCATTTACTCTAAAGGCCCATTTATACTCCTGCGTAGGGTCTATGTGCGTCCCTACGCCGTATCCATGCATTTATACTTGTTTGTAGGTGTGTCCATCATTCTGCAATTACACCCCCAAACGCTAGTCGGCAGTGTCTGCGTCAAATCACCGTTTGAATCAGTTTGACATATAGGGGCCAATTACACTGGGGACGCTGGGGACATGTCCCCACCACATTTTGAAATGGCTGATTTTGTCCCCATCACTTTTTTAAAGCCATCCATCCATCCATCGTCAACCACTTATCCTGCGTACAGGGTCGCGGGGGGGCTGGAGCCAATCCCAGCTGACACCAGGCGAAAGGCGGGGTACAACCTGGACAGGTCGCCAGTCCATCGCAGGGCCACTTTTTTAAAGCATTTGTTAAAAACATTTTGAATCATATAGCACCAAGAAAACTAACAAATTACAATGCTCTGAGAAAAGATTGATTTGCACAATAAGAAGACATGCAATGCAATATAGTTTTCTCTCATATAAAAAAAAAGACATTTCCACAGAAAATGTCTCTAGAATGCAGGAAATTACCAGTTTAATGCTCAAAATCTTCTGGGGTTAGACCCCTCACATATATTTCAGCATCAAATATTTAATTTAAATAGTGCGAAAATCTTCTTGTCTTGTTCTCACGCATTGTCACGTCTTATGACCCAAGTGTATCATCACGCTCCTGATCTGACCCCTTATGTCCCCACCACTTTTCAACACAAAGTTGCTTTGACAGCCTGAATAAAAACCTTCAAATTTATAATGCAACTGTGCAAAACTGTCTGCTTCTTTCTGAGATCGCTTTTTCCAACAAATTTGTCAATATTTCTCCAGGGAGTGCAGTAACAAACAGTGGCAACTACGGTGGGCGTGGCTCAGCGAAGAGTCAATTGCCTGGAGGCGTTGTGTGCGCCATGTGTAGGCTACACGAACGTGCTTTCTTCTACAAGACAAAATATTTACTCCGTTGCCAGTTATGTTACACTGCTGTTACTGGACTCATCCATCCACCGCACCACCTCTTTACACGGACTATGTTGCTCTTTATACTTTCTCGCTCTTCAGCCACTAGAAGTCGCCGCGTAACTAAAAATGTAAAGATGGGTCGTAATAAGCGGCTGCATAATCAACCAAGTCCTGCACTCAAAAATACAAAGAGACCAAATGTTACATTACATTAAATGTCACATTAAGTAATAATGCAGGATGGCAGGAATCTGTTTTTTATATTTTATTAATCTGAATCTGCAAAGTAACTAAAGTCGTCACATAAATGTGGTGCAGTACAAAGTACAATATTTACCTCTCTAAGGAAGTAGTGGAGTAGAAAGTATCAAAAAAACTCAAGTACCTTAAGTAAAATACTCAAGTACAATGTACTTCACGGGCCTTAACTGATAGAAGGACTAATATATCTTAATATCCAGTATCTAAGTTTAACATTTAAAGTCATATTTACATTAATTTACATCTGAACCCAAACCAAATGGTAGTTTAGTTTAGAAGATCATAAAATATATTTGGTGAGGTGTCAGAGCAAAATCTCTCATCAAATATACAAATTGATTACTTTGTCTAGACGGATAAAGACACTGGGATCTCAAATATATCACAAGTAATTTAAAACTTCTGATCACGTCAGCTGTACTCATTTGATTAAATCCGGAATGAATTGAAAACATTGTCCTGAAGTAAAAATTTAAATTCTTCAGGAAAACAAGTGTTTATTCAGAAGTAATGACAGAAGGGAGTCTGCGTGTAGAGACAATGCAGACAGTACAGAGTGAAATGTGTCTTTTCAGATTATAACGTTGACTGTTGTCTTTTTACTGAAGGTTTAATTGAGGATGTGATGAACTTCACTCCTCGGGGGGGGGGGATTACATAATTAACCGGAAAATTAAACCCACTGACTCCACATCAGGATATAGAGATAGAGTGCGTTTATTCTCAGGAGAGAAAGCCTTCACAAACACAAACAGATAAACACAGAGAGGACAAATGTGCTGTTTTCCTTCTCTGGCATGACCGCCGTGTTTGAATAACGCCTCGTCTCTGTGCTGCAGGATGAGAGGAGGCTGAGAGGAGGGAGGGAATCCTCCATTCTGTTTGATTTCAGGAAGTCAAAAGGTTTCTGAGAGCTTGTGACAAGACTGATTTCAGCCTGGTTAGACTGGAGGAACAGAGATCTGTGTTTTAATGTTGGTGGGTTTTTACATACAACATACATTCACTTTACCTATCAAACGATTTTCTGTTGATGTTCCCAACTCGTCACATGGCCAAGACCCCTTGGCGGCGCTTCTTAAACTAACTAGCCGCTCACAGCAGCTTCATATTTACTGTACAGACATGAGTGTGGCTCATCGGACTCTCCGTCAGGAAGTCGTGCTTCTCAAATCTGTTTCTGTAAAACAAAGACGAGTTTGTTATCCATCTGAACATCACTCTTGGAAAGAAAACAAATGGTTAATGAATGTATTTCCCCAAAAGTCTCTTTGTCGTTGCTAAAGCTAATTACCGGGTTGTGCCTTGGCTTATTCAGGTCAGGTATTGTCTCAGTTCATACCTCATGCAAGTTTTTATATTTGACACATTTGCATTTTACATTTAACTTATTATATATATATATATATATATATATATATATATATATATATATATATATATATATATATATATATATATATATATATATATATATTTATTAGCATAGGTGTCATTTACACTGGGGACGCTGGGGACATGTCCCCACCACTTTTTGAAATGGCTGATTTTGTCCCCATCACTTTTTTATAGCATAATTTGTTAAAAAAACGTTCTGAAATGTAGCTTTCAGTTAAATACCAAATGAAAATGCATTTAGAAGGGTTCATTTGCACATTAAGAAAACATGCAATGTAATCAAAATATAGAAGAAACAAATGTGCATTGTCCAAAAAAAGGATTATAAAATAAACTTGCGGCACCAGTCTGCAACTTTAACAACTTCTTTACACGGTTTCTTTTTGGTTTTCCGTTCTCTCCCTCCATTATATTCAGCTATATTTATATATTTTGAAATGTGACGTGCTTTTACATAAATAAAAACATTTCCACCATAAACTGGAGCAGAAACTTTCACCAGAATGCAGGAAATGAAGTATTCGAAGATAAAAAATTTCTCCTCCCCCAGACCCCCCGCTCATATATTTCATATATCTTTAAAACACTGTTTAAGCATCTTTTTGTCTCGTCGAGGATTTATATTGCGTATCGTTATGTCTCGTGAGCTAAGTGTCTCTTCACACCCCTAATCTGCGCCCCTTTGTCCCCACCACCTTTCAGCACAAAGTGACACCCTTGTATATTAGTCACAGTGTTTAACTCAAAGATAAATAAAAGCTAAGATTTGAAAAATGTGAAGACTTTTCCAGACCAGACAGCCTTCTTCTATGCCTCCAGTACAAAAAAATACTATAATAATAATAATGATTAATTATTAAAATAATTATTATTATAATAAAATAATAATAATTATTTTATTATATAATAAAGTAGAGTCGAGTTTGATACCATTTCACATATTCTAATTGTGATAAATGGCTGTAGAAATAGAAGAGAAGGGGAAACAAAAAGAAATACAACACAGTAAATGGCCTTATTTTTTTTATTTCTTTGAGTCGATATTAGAATGTGGAGCATTTACTTTCTTCCACAATTCACTTAAAAATAGAAAATCCCAACCTTTCATTATGTGGTAAAAAAAACCCTGTTCTTTCAGCATTTAAGGCTTTTAAAAGGATTTCATTTGGATACAGTTCCTAAACCTTTTAAAGCCCAGCAGACAACCTGCTCACTGTGAATACTGTGGTATAAAGAGAGACTACTGCATTATTTCTTGCATTGTGAAGCTGAACTTCACGTGGAGCTGCTGGCTGTTTCATATAAGCTGAAGAGATTTTACAAGCAGCTGTCACCTTGTTACAAGCCTGATTATCACCGTCCATGCTTTTGTGGAAATATCTTAAAAATTAAAAAAAAGCAAGAAATGAAGAGCTAGGGGAAGAATACGAATAACTCAGGATTTAATTTCTCAGCACACAGTTTAAGAGAGAAAGATTTGTAGAGGCTATTTTTTTTTTTTTTTTTTTTTTATATCGTGTTTCACCTGGATGAAAAATCATTAAAGCTCTCAATTTCAGTCTAAAGCAAGCCCTTAGCTTCTCTCTGCGGCTGTCCCCTCATTATCATTAATTGCAAAAAAATGAAATTACAAATGTAAAAGTAATAAGACAGAGTACAAAATGATAGTGTCAGGGTAATTTAATGAGGCCTCTGCAGGGAGGAAAAAATGCACAGTGTGAAACCTCACCAGAAAAACAGCCGTGTAGGTTAATCATTATATAGCTGATAACAACCCATATTTAAGTCAGGTTGTGACCTCTAATGGTAGAGAAAGTCAGGTGACGTAGTATAATGAGCGACAAAAAGGACACAGTGGGGTGGATGAATAAGTAAAGTAAAATTGCACAAGTTACACAAGTGACGTAAGTTCAAGTACCGTATGAAAAGGAAGTCCAAGGGGACATCCATCCATCGTCAGCCGCTAATCCTGCGTACAGGGGGGGCTGGAGCCAATCCCAGCTGACATCGGGCGAAAGGCGGGGTCCACCCTGGACAGGTCGCCAGTCCATCGCAGGGCCACACATAGACAAACAACCAGTCACACCTAAGGACAATTTTAGACACCAATCAACCTAGCCTGCATGTCTTTGGTTGGTGGGAGGAAGCCGGAGCACCTGGAGAGAAACCACGCAGACACGGGGAGAACATGCGAACTCCACACAGAAAGGCCGGGGCAACCGGGGTTCGAACCCACAACCTTCTTGCTGCGAGGCGACAGTGCCAAGGGGGCATGTTGTCAGTTAAATAACATTTCGGAGATGACACATACTTATTTTAACCCAAACTACAATCTTTTCCTAAACCTAACCAAACTACAACCCATTTTTACAACAGGTTAACCCCTTGATGCCTGAATGTATTTACAAACATTTATTTATAAACTTATTTCTGTTTTCATTTGCTTTAAGGTTAATATTAAATTAAGTGGAAATTGTTAATTTGTCTCTAGAACATATAAAATATATAAATTCAGGTATGACGTAGGTATGATGCAAATTAGCGACAACAGGCATTAACGAGAAACCAGTGCTTGCAAAAGGTTCCCGGGTACGTATTGAAAATGCACAAACAGGCATTTGGGGAAAACAAACGCAATCTCAGCTGCGGCCTGAAAGGAAGAGGTGTGATAAGAATTTGAGACAATCAGCATTAAGGGGTTAAACGTCATGTGACTTCAGTCCAGTACACCTGTCACTGGCCAACGCTCGTACATGTCGTTTTGGGGAGCGCTCATATACATCATCATCATCGTTGTTACAGATATTAAAGTAACAGGAAAAGGTAAAACAGGTCTAGATTGGAGTCATTAGCCGACCCCACAAGTGTTCACTGACCTTCCAGCTCTAGTTATCTCTCTCATGTAACTGAGCTTGTTGGGGAGACGACAGTTAGACCGATCAGGTAGAGACAGTAGCTCAGGCTAGCAGATATCAGTGTTCTCTTGGAATCTGACATGGTTGAGTCTTACAAGAACGTTTACAAGAACTTACTGGCTCCGCAGATTAGAGTTCAACTCATGGAGAGTCGTAGATTCCAATATGACGTAGCATTGGAGTCTAAATAGCAGGTAGATATTGTTCTAGGTTAAGGCCAGCTAAAGATGACCTACAGGCACCAGGGGGAAGACAGAAACGTAAAAGGGACCAAAATATCTCCTTCAGATTTGGTGTTGGCATTTGTGTTCACAGGTCGTATGCTGGCTGCATCTCCTCGGCCGGGCTCGATAAACCATTCTATTCTTCACACCTGAACCTGGCTCACAATATTTCCTTAACATTCGTACTTTCCAGCGGTCATATGTCGTTTTGGGACGACTGATAATCGACCTATTTTGTTGTTTAGGTATGACCTGTAGTGTTGTAGTCAAGACCGCCCAAACCGAGACCAAGTCAAGACCAAGACCAGAGTTTATCGAGACCAAGACTTTTAGGGGCTGAGAGCAGTCGGGACCAAGACCGAGGGACGGCGAGACCGAGTCAAGACCAAGACCAGTTCCCTTTATTGCATGGCACACAATAAAATGTGGAACGACATCATAGGTACTTCTCAAAGTGATCTGACAGATCCACATTCCCATTAAAACACCCACATACAAACACTAAGAGCTGAAATCAACGTAAGCATCGCAGGGAGGGGTGACAGTCATTAATTAGGGTTACTGGTTGCATTGGATGTTAACAAATCAGACAATGCAAAAGCAATTTATTGATATTCCCAAAGTTATGTTCTTGAGTGGTCTTGAAATAAAATCCCGAGTCCTCAATGTCTGAGACTGAGACAAGACTGAGTACAAAGGCAGTCGAGTCCGAGATGAGACCAAGACCATCAAAAAGTGGTCTTAAGACCGGTTTTAAGACCAAGACCGGTCTCGAGTACTACAACACTAATGACCTGTAACTTGTTGGAACATTCAAGGCTACAAAAACAAAAGGTCAGTTTGCTTTTCTAATGTCTCCTGAAAGAAGAATTTCTAAATTATTAGACTTCTGTTTCCATCACAAAAAATGGAAAGGCTTGACCACGCTGACCTATTGATTAACTTAGACTTTAGTAGCTGACGAACCATTCCACCATCCAATTGAGTTGAAGTATACTGACCCTGTTAACGAACACATTCTCACTCCCAACTTTTCACATATAGAAGTTTAGCCAAGATCCCTTGGCGTAACGTTTTAACCTTGTGTACCCTTTAGCGTCGTTTTTGGACATGTAGGGCTCTGCGGTCAAGTTAGCTATAACAACTATCCGACGTCCGGTTAGACTTTCAAAATAAAACTATTGGTCAACGTGGTGAAACGTCACAATTTGGTCAGACTTAGGCATCAAAACTACTTGATTAGGCTTAGGAATTCAGTTACATTACTTACATATGTCACGTAACTAAGTTTAGAAAATCAGTGTTGACCTTTCAGTAAACAAATACCGCTTATCTCCTATCTCCCGATTGAATAACCCGTTGTCACTTCCCGACTCGTCACATATGGACGCATGGTCAAGACCCATCGGCGTCAGTTTGTAACGCAATGGAAATCCCGATAGCGTCATAATTCAACGTAGTGGGGGAAGCCCTGTAGCGTCGTTTTTTTATTGTAAAGGCAGGTATATGATATTTAACAGAACAGACTGAGTGAGGAGGTGGAAGGAGGGCCAGATCCCTCACTTTGAACGAGGAGACCGGGTTCATGTCCCGCGTGAAACAAAAAGTCAAAGTTAAATATTTTTGTGCAAGTTACGTAAATTGCGCAAGTTACTTAAGTGTTGTAAGTTAACCTACGTGTTAACTGACCTACGTAGTTATTTTAACCCAAACCATGATCTTCTCCTAACCTTAACCAAGTAGTTTGTGTCTAAACGTTTCACGACTTTAATAAGGTGCCGTTTCAAAATGGCGATATTTTGAAACGCTAGTGTTTTATTTTGAAAGTCTAACTTTACTGGATGTTGCGTATTTGTTGTTGCTAAGCATTGCTAACTTGACTGCGGAGCCTTAAACATCTAAAAATGACGGTAAAGGGGTACCCAGGGCTTTAAAAAGCCACGCCAAAGAGCTTTGACCAAGCGTCAGTATGTGACGAGACCCACCTGTCCACACCATCCACCTCCTTACGCAGACTTTTCTGTTATTTAAATCCCACACTCACTATCATTAATGTTAAAGGGCGTCCTCCATTGGTTGAGCTATGACGCTAAAGGCTCCCATTGTGTTACAATCTGACGCCTAGGGGTCTTAACCATGAGCCCAAATGTGACGACTTGGGAGGGAGAACGAGTATCTTTAACATGCTCACAATTACAAAGCCAACGTGCTGACTTTTACCCAAGAGAACACTCACTAATAATCTTGATGACACACTGATATTTCCTCCAGTTCCACCTTCAAGTTAAGTTTCCAGACATGCACAAGAAATTTCCAAATCTATTAACCAAATTGCAGGATGAAATCTTTTTCTATCTTACGGATCCCATGACATTTCCTCTGTCCCCACCGACAGGACAGTATTTACATTTTTAGCTCCAGAACTAAACAGCATTATGCTTGACTTTTTACATTACAGTACAGATTTGTTTCTCTTTCCTGGATCTCTGTGCTCGGTTTCTGAGAATATATCCAGCTCAGTGAGCAGACACACACTACAACTAATCAGCCTCTCCAGCCACGGGAATAGTCATAATTCAAAGGCCAAAGAATTACTGAGCAAGGATCAATATCCCTGGGCTGTGTCCTGCTCATGAGGGGGCTACGATTTAGGTCAATGTATGCCCACAGTAATTATAAGTCAAGCTGTGAGAAGGAAATGTAATAAGACATTATCTGCAACAGGGAACGGGCTTTAACAAAAGGCTTGCAAAAGTAGAAAATGCATCAAGTGCAGTGCAGCAACACAACAGCACTGAGCCAAAGATGGACATGAAAATTATTCTTCAATAAAAGCATTATTATGGTGATTGAGATCAAACTAACAGAACACTTTGGGTTTCATGTGAAAAGGAATATTTGTCAGAAAGGATAATTCAAAGTAAAAAAATGATCCCAGGATGGATTCACAAAAAGAAGTCACAAAACAAGTGTTGTGCTGCCTTCGTTAATATTCAGTGTCACATGCTTTTTCACCATTTCAGAGAAGTTCCACACTGATTCATGCAGAGCTACTTGAGTTAACATTAACAATGATTTGATTCTTAATAATGGTCAACACGGGCACCAGGGTAGGAGTCATCTGTACTGTTTTCTCGTCCAGTCTTTCTTGTATTTGAGACAAAGTGGGACAGACCTCTATCTTTAGGATGGGAAGAACGGTGTCATCCTTCCCTCCTCGTCCTATTTCTCTACTTCTTTATCCTGAAAGAGAGACAGGTTTATCTAAACATATGAGTCAGGACCTCAGTTTAATGCCTCATCCGAAGGACGGCAGCTGCTACAGTGCAGCGTCCCGGGCATCTTATTATTAGGACCAGAGGGAAGACTGCCCCCTACTGGACCACCAACAGCAACTTAGTTTTCCCAGGAGGTCTCCCATTCAGGTACTGGCCGAACCCAAACCTGCTTAGCTTCGGTCATTCAGCAGTAGCAGGGTTTTAATTTAGTATTATTTTTAGTTGTGTTCATTTAACTCTTTCTGCCCCTCTGTCTACAGCCACTCTTTTATCTACTGTTTACACTTTCTACTGTGCAAACACGAATTTATCTAAAATGTACAAATAAAGTTTCCCGAACCTGAACTTCTCACTTCCCCCAGGCCCATGCAGACCAGACCTGCCATTCTCCACCTGTTCACCAGATGCCCTCTGACTTTCCCACATCCACTTACCCCCATGCCCAAATCACTTGTGCCTGCCAATACACCTGCCTCTCTTATCTCATCAGTCCTGCAGCGTGTATAACCAGCCCCTTTCCTTTTGCCAGTTAATGTTGTGCCCTTGTGTTCCAGCCATCTGTTACCTGTGTTTTGACTTGCTGCCTGTGCATGTGATCTGCCTACCTGTCTGTCCTGGCCCGTCTGGATTTGTT